GACGATAATCTTGCTGCGGCTCGGCGGTGTTATGACGAGCGTCACGTGTCAGGAAGATCTGAAAACCCTCGACGTCTTCCTTCTTAACGGTGCTTTGCAGCACTTGTGAATCGGTTACATACAACTGGTTTATTCCATAGTGTGATACAGGAAGGCCGGCCGAACACCTATTACATCGAGACAGAGGATATGATTTTACGTCGAGAGTAACACGGCCTGTGTCGAATCGAATGGAGATGTGTGTTTTATGCGATGGCCGGCATATCCAGAACTTGGACTGATGAAGTGAAGGTGAAGTGTAGGTAATGTTGACAAGTGAGAGCTGAGAGAGTGATTAGAACGCTGCCTCTAGGTATGTACCTGTTTAATCTTAAATTGTTTTAATTACAAGTAAACTCATACGCAGTCAAGTGCGCGCGTCGGCGACATCAAAGTGTATTCTAGAAAACGAGAGAGAGTGAGAGGTAATGAGAGAGAGAGAGAGAGAGAGAGAGAGAGTGTACGCCGGGACGGCACGTATAAGCTTTCAGGGTTGAAATATTTGTATGAAAATCTACGAGATCAATTTACGAGAAATTGTTTTTTGACATATTAATTATGTTCTTTGTGCTTAGTTGTATGGCCATGTTTCGGGATTATACATGTATTACCAAACACGCTGTACAACAAGTTTCAATAGAAATTATGAAATAAGAATACCGATAAATCAATAAGACTTATATGTGCTTCCGAGTGCAAGCACCTTGTATATTGAAGGAGTGGTAAATGTGATCAAATTTGGAGACAACAGTACCAAAGAAAAAGTGTCATCTTTTCAATTTACTAATAACGCGTTAATGTACTTGTTTCAAGACATACGTTATGAATTAAATGGTGTTGAAATAGACAAAGTTAAAAATGCTGGTATAACAACGACTATGAAATCTTTACTCTCCATGAATGAAACCGAATCGAAGATATCTGAAGTATGGGGTTGGAATATACAGGGTTTAAAAATACTATCGGTGGTCACTTCTCTGCATCAATTCCATTAAGTAACATACTAGGATTTGCTGAAGATTATAATAATTTATAGCGAATTGTAAACATGAGCTTGTTCTATTACGAAGCAATACAAACCTCCATGCCTTATAACTTGAAAACGATGAAGTAATAGAAAGCATTGATATACATAAAATAATTTGGCGTGTTCCTCAAGTCAAAGTATCTGACAGAGAAAAAATCAATTTACTTAAAATTTTGAAAAAGATAAACCAATTCAATTAACGTTTCGGAACTGGGATCTTTACGAATACCCAATGCTACCAAAGACTACTAAACATACATGGTCAATTAAAACTTCTACTCAGATTGAAAACCCTAATTATGTTATTCTTGGCTTGCAAACTAACAGAAAAAATAATGGATCAAAAGATATGTTCCAATTTGATCATTGTAATCTACGTGTTGGAAAGGTTTATTTAAATTCTATTTATTATCCATATGAAAGCTATAATACCGACTTCGCGAAGCATAACTATGCTTTAATATATGAACAATTCGCAAACTTTCAACAGTCTTATTATTCACGTAAATCAAGTTGTTTATTAAGTGCTTAACAATTTAGAGAATATGCACCATTATTTGTAATCGATTGTTCAAGGCAGAACGATAATATAAAAACAGGACCCGTTATTAATATTCGCTTAGAGTTAGAGAGCCATAAGGAGATACCGGACCAGACGTCAGCATATTGTTTAATTTTAAATGATTGCATAGTGGAATATAAACCTCTTAGTAATATAGTTCGTAAAATATCATGAATTATATTATTATAGTAGATGTGCAATGTTTTAAAAATGTGGCGAGCTACCCGCTCCAATTTTATACTTGGGCAACCGCCCTACAATTTGACGAAGAAACGCTCCGCTTATGCGCTTTGGACCAGCGGCGATGACTGACGTCACGCATTACGTAGCTCGCCGGGCGTATGCGTATCCTTGTCGCACGCGCTCACTTCGTGATGATGCGTGCCTGCTCGCGTCGTCGCGCCGTCGGCCGAACAAGAACTACTCTGCTTATAGCTTTGCTTGCGTACGACCGTCACATTTCCAATAATTTAATAATGAGAAGTAATTAAAAGGTCAGCCATAAAAAAATTTGGTTAGCCACAAAAATCAGTATTTTAATCGTTTGATCAGCATTTAAAGATTTTGTATGCAAGAAAAATAAAACAATCGGCAATCCTTGTTTCGCAAATAATCTTGATAATGATCAGTAATTTAATCATATACAGTCAGCTTAAAATAATATGTGTTTGTCAAATAAACAGTCTATCCCCAAAATAACTACTTGATCAGAAAGATTCAGGATTGGTCAGCAAGAAATATTTGTCCGGTTAGCAGTTCATTTGATCGGTTTGCGTATTTAAAGCATGGTTAGAAGAATAACTAATTGGTTTGCATTTTTATTGAAAAGTCTGCAATGTACGTTAAAAGTGGGCAAAGCAAGAGTAGTCGCATGATACTAGTAGCCAATCGCGTGCGTGTATTGTCATTCGGTGTCTATGCGGCGATTAGTAGCTGTCAAATTACAGTGATAACAACTTGTTTTATGCTAATTAGTGTGAATTTTGATATTTTGCGAGTGTTATATGAGTACTGTAGGTAGCAGCCGGGACCGACGGCTTAACGTGCCCTCCGAAGCACGGAATCATCTTACTTTCGGACAATCAGGTGATTCAGGCCTGCAATGTCCTAACCAAACTGGGAAAAACTCACAAAGAAATATTTGAGAGTGTCCCCACCGGGAATCGAACCCAGTACCTTCGGATCGAGAGCCTAACGCTCTAACCACTAGGACACGGAGGCAGTTAATTTAATTAGTTAGTTTACTCTAAATACCCATTCATTATTTTTGTAAGGAATGCGCCCATTTTGCGCCAGTCATTATTGCTATTTTTATATGCTTCACAAAATTAGATTAGTTGCTTCCCTCTAAGTGCTGTTCAAAATTGTATTTAACATGCGTCACTCATTGCAGCTTATATGATTTTTATGCTAATAAAAAATAATTACAGCCGTCCAGAATGTAAAAAATTGTCGATTGATTTGATATTGTTTGCTAGCCATGGTCTGCTGACCAATCATATATTTCAACTGACAGAATACATTTTTCTGCTAGCAAAAATGTGAATACTGTGCTAACCCGTTAAATAACACCCTTTAATAATTTGCTTACTTTCGCTATTTTATATAATTCTTTTCTTGTAATTTAATTCTATTCTGTGTGTAATCAATATATCCTTCATTCTTAGTGCTTGTGCTTCTTTTCTTTCTCGTGAACTGTGTTGTTTTGTGCTGTTTAAATTGAACATTATTATCGGGTTGGACTCCCGAATTTTATGTGGGATTTCCTCATTTAATATCCTACAAAAACGTAAAAAATGAATTTCTAATAAAAGAATTAGTCATAGACACATCGGAACATATTCAAATATTTTTGATAAAGCCACCTTATCCATACTGTTAGCTATCACATATTTTTTTAAATCTTGGCATTATGACAAACTATCGGATGGCATATAATATTAAAAAAAAAGAAAAAGAAAAAAGAAAGAAAGGTGACGGTAGGAGGGAATATAATAATAAAGTAAAAACGGACGGTTATTATGTCGATGGCCATCGGATGACGAACATCATTGCGTCAAAAAATATAATTTATAAAAATAGCGAATGTACAATTGATATTGGAAATAAAAGACTGTGATTCAAAAGGAGGTTTTATTAACAATACTCTACTCTGATCCTTGAAGAAAGCAAACATGTATGGTGGATAGAAAGAAATAGAGGGTACCGATGGAGTGAGGGTCATATTGACTATAGAGAATTCAGAAGACTAATAAAACCTTAATTAAATAAGTATAAAATCATAGTAAAAGGCGAAGAAAAAGTTAAGTGTGTACGAGAAATATGTGGTCACGAAAATGTTGTAGATATAAGTGAAAAAAGGTATACCTCATTTAGAAACTTTCAGTAAACTCTATTGTAAAGATGTGTTCGCTTACAATTGTTTTAATCATCTGAAATGTTGTGCATTGAGAAATGTTATATGTATTAGAAAGTGGTTTATAGAAAATAGTATTTCTATGTCAGATTTTTAATAAATGAATTTAATTATTATCCTGTCTTCGTCTCAAGATTTAAAATTGACCATGTAGTTAGCCCTACGCGTTTTTATTCACTCGCACATAGTTATTTAGCGTAAGAGAGAAAAAGAAAGCATATGATCCCTTCTCTTACCCCCCACGCAGTCCCCTCTATCGGCGCCGTCGCGCCACATGTCCAAATCATTCTTTGTCGTGCGCGCGCGACATTTGCACGTAGTAAAAAATAATATTTTAAAAATTTAAAATAATTATGCCGAAAAGACATCATAATAGATCGGAGGAGGAGAAACTAAGAAAAAAGATCAGGCGTTACCAAAAAAAAAAATTGGAAAATCTACCAAATCAAGGTATTTATATTGCAATTTTTGCAAGAGTTTCAACAAAACTATTTGACTTGGATCTTCTACCGGCTACCGTGTTAAAAAACCACCGTGTAAAAACGCTCCTGCTATTATATAAAAATCGTAAATGTAAACAGTGAATACGGCTGAAATATTTGTGTATTGTGACTCGTGATACATTGACGTTTGTTAATATCCATTATCTAGTATATCCGTGGTGAAGCTGGTGCTAGAAGTTGAATTTTCTATCTGATCTTAGTGAACAAAAAACCTGTATACCCTGTGTGCTAAATATCAACAGCTGAGAGGAGTATTTGGGCGATACGCGTAAGTGACACCGACTGCACGGCGCTTACGTCGTTTCTCTCGCGGGGATTCATTGCATCGCATGTGGTGAGCCTATATTAAAGTGCTTTGAACAGGTGGGCCGTTGCTACCGTGCAACCGACCATTACCACAATACCAAGCGACGATTAAGCGATACCGCTACTGTGGCATTACCTTTGATCGACATGCCGAACTGCGGAGCGTGCGGCAGATTTTTATCGCCGGTAGGCGCCGCCACATGCGGGGACTGCTTAATAAAATATCATCGGGTCTGCGCGAATATTTCTGAAAAAGCCCAAATTAGCAAGGACTGGGTTTGCTCAAATTGCAAAAAGGATTCGCGCAGGGGCGATAACAGACAGACACCAGTGAAACGCTCAAGTGGTACCGAGATTTCGGCAGTATCGTCGCGGGGGCTGTCGCCGTCTTCTCATCGCGTACTCGCTTCGGATTCGCGTCAATTTGGTGAGGACGTAGGAGACCATACGGACGTCGGTGGTCTGCGAGAATTTTTCCGGGAATTCAAGGAGGGCATGGAAGAGATTCGCGATTTCAGGAGGGAGATGGCGAAGCTTCGAGAGTCTTTCACGGCCTATACCGAGCGCTTGGATGGCCTCGAGCGGCGACTGGAGGCGGTGGAGAAGCGGCGGGATGGGGGCGACTCCGCCCGTGTAGCTGAGCTGAAGAGCGCCGTCTCGGGACTCAAACAGGAGCTCAACGACAGGGAGCAGGAAATGCTTCTCTCCGACTTGGAGATCGGTCATCTTCCGGAGGAGAGGGGGACGAGTGTGTTCCAGGCGGTGGCGGTCCTCGCTGGGAGGCTGGGCGTCACACTGGAGGAGCGGGATGTGGTGTTCGCGGAGCGGGTGGGTCCGACACCGGCGGAGAAGGAGGGGCGGCCGAGGCGCATGGTGGTGCGCCTGGCTCGTCGGCAGCTGCGTGACGACCTGCTGCAAGCTGCGCGCGTACGCCGAGCTGGCCTAGCATCCGCTACCGTCCAAATCGTCAGCTTTTTCGCCGCGTCCGGGAGGAGAGTCGTCGGCTGCAATGGCGCTACACCTGGACGAGAGGCGGCCGCATTTTCGCTAAGCAGAGGGACGGGAAGCCTGTGTTTCGATTCCGTACAGACGAGGACATCGTCCAGGCGTTCGGCCCGGGGTCCCCGGCTCCCCAGTGATCTAAAACATACCAACCTATTGATATATTGTGTTTATTTCCATTGTCGTAACAGCTCGTGTGTATCGTTGTCCTTTTACTTTTCCATAATTAGTATATTAAATTTGTCAGACTATGTAACTTTTCGTAAGAACGCTTTGAAGGTTTTTTTTTCTTTATGTTATTGTAATAATCCTCTCGTTACCTGTACTCGTGCGAGGCCATTTAATAAAAACAAAACGTATTTGATCTGCTATATATTGGAGAATATTAATTTTACAACTACATATCTTAAAAAGTTATATTACAACACTGACATATTAAAACTACATAATTATATATATACAGTTATATTAAATATTAGATTTACATTTTTACTCAATTATATAATATTTACACATTGTTCAGTCCCTCTGGCTACAAATAGTACACAGACAGAATACATTCAGAATTATGCTATCTATGATTCATATTTTTCACAGAGAGTTTTAAATATTGAGTTGATCAGTAGAACAATTAACAAACAAGGTTTAAAATGATTAAACTAAATAATCTCAAAGTTGGTCTATTCAACGCAGGTTCTCTTGGCACAAAACATGAGGATTTTATCGTAGCATTAGAGGGTCTGTCTCCAGATATCATGGCCATAAACGAAACATGGCTGAGACCAGGGTGTGATGACAGAGCACCTAAAGTACCAGGATACTGCCTGCGTCACATTCCTCGACCCGACAAAACACGTGGTGGTCGCGGAGGGGGTGTTGGATTCTACGTGAGAAAGGGTATCAATGCACGCACATGTCAGCATCCTCCGGCAGCGGAAGTGGAACAGATGTGGATGAATGTCCGAATCAAAGGAAGAACCATCTTAATTGGAACAGCCTACAGACCTCAATGGCTTGATGTGGACTTATTTCTGGATGGATTGTCTGATTCTGTTTCATCTCTGCCTAGGCATGACGGGCTCATCCTCCTGGGAGACTTTAACATAAATTGTCTTGACAGCGGTAGCAGCCAGTTTAGATTTTTGTCAAACTTCTGTCGTGGATTTGGCTTAATTCAGATAGTCGAGGAGCCTACTCACTTCACTGACCACAGTTCTACTCTGATCGATGTAATCTGCACAGACATTCGGGTCGTCAGTATCACACATAAACACTCTCCGGACCTTGGTGGGCACGGCATGATATGCGCAGAATTCAAAATAAAAAAAGAAAAGCTGCAGCCGCACTGGGTCACCTACAGATCTTTGAAGGACATCGTTTTGGAGCAATTTAACACGGATCTTGACTCTGTCTGTTCAGGGAGCTTCCTGACAGCTGACGGTGTCGACTCCATGACTGAGGATTTCACAAGAGCCATCATTACCCTTTTTGACCTACATGCTCCACTCAATAAGAGAAAATTCAAACACCCTCCCCACCCATGGATTACAGACACAGTGAGATCGATGATGAATATAAGAGATCTATATCACAAAAAATATAAGATACGCAACTCTGAATCTTTCAAGGATTGTTATAAGACAATGAGGCATCTAGTGACTGCTGCAATCGAGAAGGAAAAAACAATTTTTTTCAATAATAATATTAATACCCAATTAAAAAATTCTAAGCAGTTATGGAAGAACCTTAAAAACACTATTCTGCCAAATAAAAAGAGAGACTCAGAGTTGCCACCACTGTTCACTGATCCTAGTGCCATAAATACACATTTTTTAGAAGTGCCCGGGGTCGACAGAGTGTCAATATCGCAGCTAACCTACTTCGAATATCATAGGTTTTGTACATCTACCTTCACACTGCACATCGTGGGTGAAGACGTGGTACTGAAAACCATAAGAGGGCTTAAGTCTAACGCGCAAGGAGTGGATGGGCTATCGCTGGAGATGCTGGTGCTCACTCTTCCACAAACATTGAGTGCTATCACAGCAATAGTAAACAGATCCATAGAAGAATGTACGTTTCCTTCGATCTGGAAAACAGCCATTGTAAAGCCTCTTCCGAAGAACAACCACCCTGCGTCGCTGGGGGATCTACGCCCTATCAGCCTTTTACCATGCGTCTCAAAAATATTGGAACGGATTGTTTATGACCAATTAACTGCTTACCTGGAATGGAATAACATCCTCCCATTATTCCAGTCTGGTTTTAGAAGGGGCTGTAGTACCGCCACTGCTCTTGCGGATGTTATGGATAATGTGCTCGTTGCTCAGGACAGGGGAGAGGTAACTGCGATGGTGCTGCTGGACTTCTCGCGTGCCTTCGAATGTATAAATATAAACCTTTTACTGTCGAAGCTCACATATTATGGCGTTGACTCCAAAACTACTAAATGGTTCCACAGTTACCTCACGAATAGGAGACAATTTGTGGAATTGACATTGTCTGATGGATCAAAGTCTAAATCACCCTCATCTCCGGTGACGCGTGGAGTTCCGCAGGGATCCCTACTTGGCCCCATCCTATACATATTGTACAGTGCAGACTTAGTTCAACAGATCACCTGCTGTAGGCATCACTTATATGCAGATGATCTTCAACTTTACTTATCGTTTGCACCATCAGAATATATCAGTGCGTTGGCCAATATAAACAAAGACACAGTGAATATTTCAAAGTGGTGTAAGTCAAATTGCCTTGTGTTGAACCCAATCAAATCTAAGTTCATGCTACTAGGCACAAAAAAGAACTTGGAAAAGCTAAACGGAATCCCTTTCAATATCTATGTCGAGGAGTTGCCTGTTGAACGTGTTCAAACGGCCAGAAATCTGGGGCTTACTATTGACAGCCACTTAAACTTTGAGGGTCATGTATTGTAATGTGCCAGGAGTTGTTTTTACCGCCTAAAACTGCTATATAATGTAAGGCCCTACATCAGTGAAGATGTAAGAATAAGGTTGTGCGAAGCGTTAGTCCTTTCGAAACTTAACTATGGTGACATTGTTTTCGGCCCGTGTCTTTTATCTAGATCCGCAAAACTTATACAGAGAGTGCAGAATGCATGTGCTCGTTTTTGCTTCAAAATACCACCCAGAGCGCATGTCACACCGTTCTTAAATACATCTAACTCACTAAGAATGGATGCACGCAGAAGATTACACCTAGCAACCCTGCTGTTCAGTGTCATAAGTACAGGAAAGCTACCATATCTGCTTAAGAAGTTGGCCTGGACACAGGATCGCATCGGTTATCAGAAGAGAGTATGCACTCACATATTCTCCACTCCCAGGCACTGCACTTCTGCTTTCAGGGGAGCCTTCAGGTATGCAGCGTCCCGTTGCTGGAACGACCTGCCACCGCCGATACGTAACCTAAAATCAAAATATACCTTTAGAAAACATTTAAAACAATATCTTTTATCCTTACAAAATAAACTTTAAAACAACTGAACTTTATTACCTATATTGTTTCCCAATCAGATCGAAATATTGTTGACCTTGTGGTGGCAGGTGCGGTGGAAGTGCCTTTCCTCCCAAATCATTCTACGATCGCTCCATACTACTCAGAACGCGAGATCTAAAAATTGGTTGTGTTGTGGCGTAAACTGATAATTAATTATACACTAGACAATAATCACTAATAATTATAAATAAGTACTCACATAAAGGGTATTCTCGTCCCACAGGATACGGAAAATATATTTACTTATTTTCATTGTAGCTGGTGAATGTAACTTTCAAGAATGCCACGTCAAAGCCACGTAAACACTACGTGGCAATTTACTGGATTCATTATCATGAGGAGAATGCCATCACACTTTGACTCCAGTAACTTGTTTAATGTACCACACCATTCGTAAAAATAGTTATAACATCCCACCCACTTTCACAACGTTTTCTTTGTTTTTCACGCATTTTCCTTATTTCTTCCTCTGTCAAAGACTTATTGAAAGGCAAAGGGATCTATAACCATTCGGCCATATCACTTATAAGGTATCTATTTATCGTTTTATAGTTTATTTATTTATTTATGGAATTAGTATATAATAGTTGTATTTTAATGTTTCTTTTATATGTTAAGAATTTTATTATTTATGTAGACGGAAGACACCATTTATCAGGCGCTGTCAGAAAATCAGTGCTTTTGTAGCGTTGTAACTGCAATGTTGCAAAAGAAATCGCTGAGACAGCGACCCTGATTGGCCTCGCACGACGCACTCAGTTAGTGGGACTAGGAGAAATTAAAATATCTATTGTATTTATTTAATCGTATTTTTCTTTTTCTTTTTTTTTAGTTAGTTTTATTGTATTTTCTTATTTTGTGTTTCTACTGAGTGTAACGCTTGTGAGGCCAATAAAATTTCTTTCTTTCCTCTTTCTTTCTTTCTAATTATAATAAGTGTTATTTTTTCATTTCGTCGCCTGTGTTTCTTTGATCTAATACGAGATATAAGGCAGTAGACATTTGCCCCGAATCAATACGCGATATTGTTCAGAGGCGTTTTCATACGGTAATACGAGATATTAGCCGTACTTTATGATACCTACCCACATTGTAGTGTATTTTTTTTCTCCTTCGTTTTGTTAATACTTCAACTGGTACTATATTAGTAGGGTAATATTCGGCATTCTGTCCCCCACTCATTTGTGTCGGCGTTTCGCCACCACTCACTCATGGAATGTCATTCCAATATTAGAAATGGATTCAGTATAAGAATTTATTAGAGAATTGATGCTATTCACGCTTTTTAGTTCAAGTTTTATTGAATGGATAATCGACTAACCTGGTGACCATGACAGCGAGATAGATCACATTTTTTCACTACACTGACTGAAACGTAAACATTCATTAGATTCCTTTAATATGCCTAACGCAATGAACAAACATATTAAACATTTAGCGATAGGACTACGGTATACTTTTATAACTTTATGGATGAGCAGCTTGCCTCAGTTAACACCCGGAAATTATGGTAGTAAAATTATATACTCCATCCAGTTTGGCTCGTGGTCTCACTGAATAAAAATTCAGTGCCGATTGCCTCGGAGTTGCCACTAGAGTATCATAATTTTAGTAGTTAAATCAAAATCAGTAATTATATACTCCATCCAGTTTGGCTCGTGGTCTCCCTGAATAAAAATTCAGTGCCAATTGCCTCGGAGTTGCCACTAGAGTATCATATTTGTTTTAATTCTATAAGGTCTCGACCCGATTGACTCATGGTCTCCCTAAATAAAAGTTCAGTGCAGTTTGCTTCGGAGTTACCATCTTGACTTCTAGATTTTTTCTGTACCCGATTGGTTCGTGTCTCCTCACCCAATATAGTTAAAAAGTAATACCAATAACCCCTAACTAGCTAGGTAACATCTAAATGATAATTGGAATCTAATAAATTATTTTGTTTCTCACTGTTTAAATACACACACTTCACACGTTGCTTGTCGGAACACTGACTGACTGAATGTACAAACGGTGTGACTATTCAAGTTATAAACGGAAGCGTTTTAAGAATTGGTTTGAACTGATCGCTTTTATATTGCGTTTTTGCTTTGAAATAAAACCAATGTATGAAATTTAAAATAAGTAAGTACTCATCACAAAATAATATAGTTTAATGTTTAAATTAATAACCAACGTAATAATTTAAACTCACAAAAAGTTTTGAGGTACTAAAAGAATAACTAAGTGAGACGACTAAACATACATACTTGTGATATAAGTATTTATAATCTATCATTAACTAACTTAATATTTTACACGTGAGTACACTTTCATTTAATAATAACACTATACATTCTATTTAGAAAGTTAGATAAATATCGCAGTATATGAATCAATATGAACCATTATAATCTTGTTTTCTTTGACTTGGACCACATTATACAGGGAGGAACAAAATGACCGACACAGCCGAAAGTTTCAAGTTAGGTTACATGCAAACGTTCATTTTATTTGAAAAATATTTAAAAATAGAGGAGGTTTAAAAATGGAGTAAAAATTTTAAATTTCTAAGTGTTGACAGCCCTTTAACGCGCATGCGCAATATCGATTGTGCGCAGATTACAACGGACCGCGAAATACATTAATTTAATTTAATTATTTACCGATATCTTAATGATAGTCGATGCTGAAAATGTTCAATTCTTCTCTGAAGACAGCTAAGCACGCTCTTTTGCATTCCAGTGTATGCAAAAGATATGCACGCGCAAAACACATCACATTTCACACAAAACTAAACACAATCTTCACTAAACTAAACTTAACACTCAAGACGAACACTCTAGTATCTTATTAACAAAAATTCAATTAAAAATGCACTAGAACAAAACAAAAATCGACAAAAAAGACGCTTCGCAGCGGTGCGTCGGCGGCGATGCGCAACAACACTCCAGCGCAAAAGGTCGGCGGCGACTGATCGACCGGCCAATACCAACAGAATAATGAAACCGCCTGGCGGCTGGCGGGTGGGCGGGGCTTTGATATTGAGGGACGAACTCGGTTCATATTTTTTTATTCGTCTTTTGATATCACTAATTTTTTAAAGTTCTTTTTAAATGCTATTTTAATAACAAATTCCTCAATGTTTTTAAAACAAAGTTCATTTGTGTTAATGATGAATCGCTGGAAGATTTGTGAGTTCAAACTTTCATTCAAACAATTTTTATGGAGAACTGCTCTTTTTAAATAACGTAGATTAATGTTAGAGTGATCTCTACAATAATTTAGGAAATTTTACACTCGGTTGCTTAATTGAGTATGTAAAGTTAAACGTCTCAAACTAAGATCACTTAGTTTTCGTTTCCGATTTGGTTTTTTGATGATCAGTTGATAGCAGTTTGATAAAACTAAGACTATTTGACTTGTGAAATTAAAAAAACTTAGGTAATTGAGAATAAGCAGTAGAAATTTTCTTCTTTTTTCAAATCATAAACCGGCTGTTAATCTGTTAATCGATTTAAGCATTTTGACTGCCTTGTTTATTGATTGACTGCTAGAATTTGTATGAAAGCAGTCTTATAAATCACAAACTAGTTCATTTTGTTTTTAGAAATGAAGAAGTCAATGACCGATTAAAAAATTTTCCTTAGTACGTCCCAAAAACTGCTGACTCAGGGTTGAAAACACTCATTTTAATTCAAAAACTTTGTAATTTAATATCACTAAAACTATTTGACCTAGACTTATAATTTTTTTTACATTATATTAAAGACAAATAGTACTCTCCAGGAACCTCGGGAGTGTCGGTCGTTCTGTTCCACCCAGTACGCAACACTGAAGGTTATAGACTAGGAGTTGTATGATAAATAAAATCGATGACATGATCTAAAATAGATTTAAAACAGAAAATAATTCTTAACAATATTACTTATCGAGTTTTAGATTTTTCTATTATCTTATCATAGTCCATAAAATAATTACAATTATGCATCCGAGAGTAGCCTAATAAGCGAGTAACTAATGCTTTTGAAAATTGATTTTATAAATACTATATAGTTTTTATTTTATAAGAATACGTATTTTTAATTGCTATCTTCCTGATGAGTCGTTGAAACGATTATTATTACTTATTTACATTATTAATAAATAGTAATAGTAAGTTTTTATATTACTATTAATGAATAAAAACTGTGACATGTAATAAAGAAAACAATATTCAAAGAACAATAAAAATATCTGTTTGAAATTATTTATCACACAGCTCCCGCACTATATAACATTATTCTATAATTCATTTCTGCAACGTTGTTTATGTATATTTTTCTGCAAGTAAGACATAAAGTGGTATACGACTAACATCCGCTAAATGAAACGTGATACTTTAGCAAGTAAATAATCTTGCCGTGGTTTTACTTGTTATTTTTATCTACTAATTATAAAAAAAAAATACTTATAAAACCGAAAAAATAAAATCAACGAGTTTATAAGCATTTTAATGTAAATAATAAAATCGAATTTTATTCAAAAATTATTTTAAATTTATTACATGTTGTTATCATTGTATTGTTAAACGATTTATTATGCTAAGTAAATAGCACAATATATAGGGGAGAGTAACCCATATTGGACCACTTTTGACATAACACCAAAAAAAACCTAAACCTTGTTAGTTACAGAAACTCAATTTGATTTAGGTGATAGCTTGGTATTTCAGTTACAACATATTACGAACTTAAGATTCTTATCAAGTTAAAACTATTTAAAAATATGCATCTACTGATAGTTGTCCTTCGGTCCAATTTATTGATCTAGTATTCTAAATTGTACCGCGGGATACATAAATTGTACCAAAGAAACCCACAGTATAAAATTTAGGTAGCATTCTCAAATAAAACTAAATTTTCGGTTATAATAATTTCGTTATTTATTATTAATATTATTAGGAACAATATTTTTGGCAATTCTAGAATCATCACAGGAACTTTTCTCTGAATATTACCTCAGATTAACATATAATACTTCAAAATAATAACAAATAAAAATTTAAGTTTATACGTCGACACAATTAAAATTGAGTATTTCTTAAGTTTTGATCATATCGTAAATCTTTTATGTAATCAACAATAAAAAGGGAAAAACATA